GAGGGGGGAGGGCAGGGGGTGAAAAAAACGCCTTCCAGCTGCTTAGTTTTGAGAAAAGCCACATGGCTTTTCGCACATCGCTAAGCATCTTCAACGGCAGTTGCAGGGAGGTGACCGTCATTAGTCTTGCTCTGCGGGTAGAGGCTGGCTGGGGATGACCCGGCTAGCAGGTGGCAGTCAGGTTTTAAGCCCTTGTGTGCTGGCTCCAGGCCCCTGGGGCTTAGATGGGGGGCTCCCGAGGGGAGCCGGGAGCCCGGGGAGGGATTTGGCCGTGCGCACTGCACTCAGACCTGGGTGAGATTTAGTTCACTTGGATGGACAGTCTCATAAATCTTCCTTGTAGCTGACCTGGAAAATTCTGAGAATCACGTTGGGTTACAGCACCGAGTTCTTTGGTTTTGGCTTTTGGCGGATGCATCGGTGAATAGCATCATTTGTTATTACACCGAGGAAGCTGGACAGAGAACAGGGGCCGTGTAACACAACCAGCGGCCGGTCCCCCTCATTCCTGTGGAGTCTGCTTGCTGCAGGGGAGCGTGTTTGCTTTGGACGGCTCCGCAGCAGCAGGCTGCCGGGCGAGCAGGAGCGGGGCTGGGCCTGGGGTGGGCCGGCTTCCAGTGTCCCGGCCTTGCCGCTCTTTGCTGGGTGGCGTTCAGCCGTCCTTATTAGCAGCTCTTAGGGATGCTGTTTTGGGGTGTTTTCCTCCCTCCCTCCTCTCTCTCAACCCTCCTGTGTTTCAGGAGACCATTAGAGAACAGCTGTCTGGAAGCTCCGAAGGCCACGTGAGGTTCTTTCCCCGGGGCTGCCTTCCTTTCCCAGCCCGGACACCTGCTTACTGCGTGTGACAGCCACGCCCTCCAAAGCCCTGTGACTCAGAATGGCCCCCAGCCCTGAGCACGTCTCTGACCTGCTCATTACCCACCTGGGGCAAGATGATGCCTGAGATTGAGAGTCAGAGTTTAGAGGCTGTTACAGCACTTTTCTGATTTGTTTTATTTAATGAAATATAATTTAATGTCAGTTCAATCTGATCATAAAATAGGGCATGCATTTTGCCTGCCTATGTTTTTAATTTAACTTTTCTATTCATTTGTGCTGTATAAAATTATCAGTCCACAATGGACTGAAACTAGAATCAAACAAATTAACAAGCAAAACCCCCACACATGCCCAGGCTTCCCTACGAGTAGTCTGAGCCCAGCTCTGTGGGCTCCGCTGCAAAGCAGATGTCTTTCAAGCCCTCCTGTCTCTTCCTTCTCAGCCTTTGAGAAAATTTCCCAACACCAAGGTTTCCGAGACTCTTGGGGTTGTCCCGGCCTCCCCAGCCCCAGGCACTTGAGATCAGAATTTGGCAGAATTCCCCTGGGTTCTTCCTTTATTGCCACTGACTTCTAGGCCTTGGTTTCTGTCCAGTCACGATTTAACTAATTTGATAAATGAATCTTCTGATAATTATGGTGAAACTATGGCAGCTTTGAAAACTGGAGTGAGGAGTGCTGTTGGGGTACTGTAGATGACACTATGTCCGAAGGGAACAAGAAAATATAAATCCTACTTCGGATTATAATCATACCTCCCAGGAGTTCCTTAAAATGGGTAAGCTTGAGAGCAGATGGCAAAGGGAAGCAAAGTCCCCTTGACTCGGACCTGGGGCTTTGGCCTTGACCCCAGTCCAGGAGGCTTGGTCAGCTGGGCTGGGGCTGTGGCACACTGGCTTTTCCTTAGGTACTTAAATTTTTTTTTTTTAATCCTCGGGCAAGGATATTTTTTCCATTGCTTTTCAGAGGAAGTGTAAGGGAGGGAGAGGGGAGAGGGAGAGAGAGAGAGAAGCATTGGTGTGAGAGAGACACATCAATTGGTTGCCTCCTGCACGAGCCCCAACCAGGGCCAGGGATCCAGCCTGCAACTGAGGTACCTGCCCTTGGCCGGGAATCAAACCCGAGACCCTTCAGGCTGCTGGCCGGTGCTCTAACACTGAGCAACACCGGCCAGGGCTACTTAAATTTAAATACTCCAGAGAACTGCTCTATGACCCCCCTTAGTAGACGATGGCGGTGATGATGGAATGGAGGAAAATCTGTGGTATCTTCTCCCATCTTAACTTTTAATCAGAACATATTTTGCAGATTAATTATCTCCTTTGATCACACGTGAATATGTTTCCTACCCACCGTGGCTGAGTTAAGTAGCTCACGAGTCCTTTACCCCTCTCCAGTGAACAATGAAATGACTGCAGTGGGTGGGGGCGTAGGGGTGAGCGCGGGTCTTGGCATAGGGAGTAACCGCAGGAAAACACCTCGGGGAGTCGGCAAGTGGGGCTTCCCGGTACCTGTGGACCTGGCCGCCTGCTCGGACAATCTCCCCTCAGCCGTCCTCTGTGCCAGGTCTTCTCTTTCTGTCCCCTCAGGGTGGCTTTCGATGCTCACTTTCACAGGGTGGGGCTGTTACGGGGGATGGGGGAAGTTCCACATGGGGTGGTCCCTGTGATGTCACCGGACCCAGGCAGACTCACACTGTCTGCGAGATTGTCCTGAAAGATTTACACATGTGGAAACCCTTCCAACAGGGACGGCGGCCAAGGGAAGGCTTATAGGCCTGACCTCTGTCCCGAGCAAGAGGCTCGTGGGGACATGGGCCTTGCACAGAGGAAGTGACGACTGGGATGAGCCGAGTGGGGCTTTGAGGAGATAACAGGGGTCAATGTGTAGGTCAAG